AGGACTTCAGGTCTGGTCACTCATCTGGTTGACTATTATGACTAATGAATTTTATATTAAAAATACCACATAGACATTTAAAAAAAAAAAAACCATTAAAACTTGATTTTAACCACAAGGGGTCTTTACACTTTTGGTGTGTAACTCATCCCGCACTGTTTATGCTATTGACATAATTGAATATATATATATATATATATATATATATATATATATATATATATATATAATACATAACATATGAGATCTAAACTATCAGTGAAAATCATTATTCTTATCATTATCCTATCAACTACTTATTTATAAACCACATAGCAACATGCTAAAAACCACTCAGAGGACATTGGTAACCGTATAGCAACGCATTGGCAACCATTTAAAAAACCCCTGTGGTGGCAGTTCTGTGTGACTTTTCCTCTGATTAAGTGTAATGTATGTGATGGCATTAATATATACTGTATAGTACATCTCTCCCTCACTCTCTCTGCTTAGCAATGTAGGTATGATAGCTTTAGCAATCTGGTTTAAGTGGAACTGAGAAAACACCAGCCACATAAAGGAATTCAATACAAAGCCAATCACTGCTCTCTGCCTCCATTCAGACAGAGAGGGGGGAGGGAGGTAGAAAAAGAGAGAGATTGAGAGAGAAAGGAAAGTATGCTGCACAGGGCTTAGTCTGTCACATATTACAGCCATGTTCAGCTAAAACTAGATAGCAACATCACACATAAACACAATACTGCTAAAAGCGACTGATCTTTTTGTTCCAGGCAACCGATTTCCTATATATAAAAAATGCTAGTTTCTCGTATCAATTTGCGAACTTTTTTCATCTCACATAACTTCTCAAAGTAACCAAATGACTATAACTTGTGTGTTTTATTTAAAGGGATACTTCAGGATTTAGCATTAAGCTAGTAGTATTAAGCTGTAGTATTTTTGAATTACCATGCTTTCCACCCTCATATCCCCCTGAGACGAGAGATTTATGTATTTTTTGTCTGGAAACATCCTCCGATGACGCAAAAATCATCATTTTGCGTCATCAGAGGATTTTTTGGCCAGAGGCTAAAGACTACAGCCAGAAGAAGGAGCTGTCCCGCATGTTTTCAACCCACCCATAGAGGGTGGGATCTCACTCACAGAATGAACAAATAGTGTCAGCCATCTTTTTTTGGAAGCTAAGCTAGCAGGCTCTTGTTCTGTGGAGAAAGCCGAGTAGTAGGGGTTACCATCCTCTTTTTCCTGGACATGTCCGGCCGTCGAGATCGCACAAAATGTCCTGGATTCAGCTTTCTCCAGTCGCCATTCACTGTTTACATGTACAGCTTTTGTTTTAATCTAACTGAATTCATTCTGATTGGTGAATCTGAATGTAGTGTTTACATGAACGCTAAAAAAGTGATCGGTTTAGCGTTTTATCAGTGCTAAGAAAATTCCCGCTCCTCCGTGAAAGATATGAAACCAGTGCGTCTCACAGGTGTCGCTCATCGGTAATCACGCCACCGGCCCTCACTCGTCCTGCTCGCCACTGTAAACATGATGAATGGCGACTGTAGAACACAAAAGCCGAATCCCGGACATTTTGGGCGACCTCGAAATCCCGGGCAGACTCATCACGGAGACTCGCTAGTAGCCTAGACTTGTTGTTTAACTCCTGCGCTCTTTTACCGGTAGGCGTGGCCTCCTAGGGCAGCGAAGCAAGTGCATTCTGGGAGTTGTTGTCTTTCATCCACATAAGTCAAAAATACATCTTCTGGCTTTTCTCAGTCTAGAAAGCTCCAAAATCAAAAGTAATTTCATATTTCTTCTACATAAATGACCCATTTTAAATAAACATTCATATTTCCAGAGGTGAAGTACCCCTTTAATCTGAGTTTGGGTCGTTGCTCATTTAAATTTTTGCTTATAAAAGTAAGTAGGCCAATATAGAATGTCCAGACTTTTCCCTAATTTCAACACTGATTTGAATGGAAAACATGTAAAATGCATCTGAGAGTACATAATCATTGGTAGCTGAAAGAATTTGCATAACGTTTTCATTGATTATTGAATAGGAATTTGGAAATATCAAACTTTTGTGAATGACAGCCATTCTGTTCACAGAGCTGTGTGTGCAGATTGCGTGGGCCTGGTAATAAGTCACTCACCAAAATCTCATTTTAAATACAGTCATAACATGATGTGATCCAAGCTTCTCATAATAACATCCTGCAGCCTGATCACTGATTGGCTCCCATTCAATCACAACTGAAAAGTCTGAAACTCAGTGGAGGCCAATGGGAAACTTTTGTTGACGATAAGTCTCATTTGGGAAGCGTGAAGCTTAAATTATTGGTAAAATAAAGATCACTGGCTCCCACAGTGATGTAATTCCTCCTCATCTTTTTAAAGAGGTTTTTCCTACAGTGGCACACTGTATTCTTGATATTGTTAATGTCAGTTTAACTACTGGAGTCGTACCTATGAGTTTTAAACATGCGGTTGTTCAACCCTTGTTAAAGAAACCTGGTCTGGACCAACTAGAGCTCTCAAATTATTGGCCTATCTGCTCCCTTTGCAGTCCAAAATTATGGAGAAAGTTGTTTATTTGCAGTTAAGCACATTTTTAAACAACAATGGTATTACTGAAATTTTCCAGTCTCGGTTTAGGTCAGCCCACAGCACTGAGACAGCTCTGCTGAGGGTTTTTAATGACATGCTTCTGGCCTCAGACTCTGGTGATACTGTTGCTCTGCTGCTACTGGACCTTACGGCTGCCTTTGATACGGTCGACCACAGAATTTTATTGTCTCGGCTGGAGAACTACGTGGGCATTAAGGGGTCGGCCTGAGCCTGGATTATGTCCTGTTTGGAAGGCAGAAGTTTTTCAGTTCAGGTTAGTGATGCTATGTCCTCTTCGGCTCCTTTGTTGTGCGGAGTTCCCCAAGGGTCTGTCCTTGGGCCGCTACTTTTTTCAATATACATGCTGCCTCTTGGGTCAATCCTTAGAAGTTACAATGTCTCGTTCCATTTTTATGCTTTTATGACTGCCAAATATATGTGCCGCTAAGTCATTCAAAAATTATTTTAGAGTGTCTGAATGAAGTGAAAGCATGGATGGATGAATTTTTGAACTTGCTAGTTGCTGCTATAGTTCCTGTTGATCTGGGTTGCCTAACCCGTCACAGTAGCCCTGTGGTTACAAATCTGGGAGTCAAGTTGGAGGGTACTTTAAAGCTTGATGCCCAGATTAATCCAGTGGTGAAGAACAGTTTCTTCCAGCTAAGGTAAAACCGATTTTATCTCAACATGATTTTGAAATATTAATCCATGCTTTTATCACCACTTGTCTAGATTATTGTAATTCACTTTATAGCGGTCTTGGCAAATTACTTATGGCACGATTACAGCTAGTTCGCGTTTTAAACCACTTAACTGTCACCGTCCCACAGGTGGGATGCTTGCCATTTTATTTTTAAAACAATAATATCTTAGAAAAGACCTTAAGTTATATTGACAAACTATATATCATTTGAAAGCTTACAATCTCTAGTTTCCATATTTTGTGACTGATTTTCAAAATAATTTACACAGGAGCCGTACTTCATCAGTTTCCAACAAGAATATTTTCATACTCATAAAGCTTGTTCAGACCTTTATTTTGAAATAGCAATGAACTTGAAAAATCATGAAAAAAAGTTAGAAACCTCAGTTTGATTTCATGCCAAGAGTTCAAAAGATAGCATCCATTCAATTATTTTATGAAAAAGGTCTGAAAATGTTTTAAATATTACAAACAAAAAATAATAAACTCACCATTTGTGTTATGGCAATAAGCTATAACGCGCATGCGTGTTCATTGTAGAGGTTGAATTCATATCAAAATCTGCCAAACTTCCCATACTACTTCTGAATAGGATTTCTACTTTATAAATTGTGTGAAATTTGTGAAAATAATGGTTCAGATCACTTAAAACACATATGGAAATGGAGGCTCCCTCATATGGGCTGTAATGGAGTCTGGTTGTGCCCTAGTGAAAAAGTTTGGTACTGCGCCCAAACTAAATCTCACTGAAAGTTCATTTTTTGAGATATCAACCTAAAATTTGAAACACAACTTGTTCAGAGTAGTCCAGGTTTTAAAAATATATATTTTATATAAAATATGAATAATGAATTTTTTTACATTGTACATTTCAACTTTTTTTTCTGTTTCACTTTCTTAATTTATTTCACTTCAAGAAAAATCTGCCAAATGTCTTCTTTAAAACGAGACCAATCTTACGTCTATATTCCAAAGCATTCTTGAACTACAACCATTTAAGTTTGAAATGGGCATTTCCATGTCTATTCAAAAAAGGGGGGTGACGGTTAAAAGGTTAAAACCCATTTATTTTCTTTGACTTTTAATACAGTTTGAGGGTTGACTTTTCAGTTCTGTATTACTGTTTACTGTTATTGTTTTATTATTTCTTTGTTGTGCCTCTGTTGTGTGTTATTGTTTATAGATTGTGTTCAGCACTTTGGTCAACAGTGTTGTTTTGTAAGGTGCTTTATAAATAAAGATTGATTGATTGATTGAAGCTATATGAAGCAGCGCTGACTGTTTATGTTGAAGCCCCTGGGAATGCTGGAGGACTTTAGGAGGAGAATAAGTGTGGGAGAGTGTATGTAATGTTTATTTACAATTACAGATTAGAAAGTAATTGTCTTAAATGCCCCCTGGCTCTTCTGCTATTCACAACGAATAATAACCCTCGATACAAAGGACCAAAACATGGAGATTTCAGAGCAACAATAAAAAAACACCTCTAGATACTCCAAACTTGAGTATGAATGGATGATATTCAACTTAGGATCCACCCTTGAAATTCTACACCCATGTGCAATCCACAAAAGCGCCTGCTGTAGCCGAGTATCGGATGACTCTACTGTACGCTGAATAATCTGAACACGATATGAGCGTGTGGGTGTGATAGAGAGTTAGACAAATTGTAAGGAATGCGTCGGCAACATACCTGTCCTAGGTCCAGAGTGACGTTGACCTCGTTGTATTTTGTATTGCGGGAGAGAGGAGGGCTTTGCCACCATCTTTCGGTTCCATCTATGGCATTGCTGATGGGATGCGCTCTGTTAGTGTCTTCTGAGGTGCAGACATCACAGTACTGGCCCTGATAACACAGGGACACACAAAGTTTAGGTTTTAGGTTTCCGTTTAAGTACTTTGCAAAACAAAACTGTTGATTGAGCAGTTTAATGTATCAGTCTGTCACATAAATAATGATTGAATGCACAACGCTTTAGTAGGTCACATGATCGGGTAATGGCTAAACATTCAAGTTGACCTGTAAGCTTAACTCTGCTCGTTTAATCCTGGCCTCGAGACGCCTCGGCCACTAGATAAAACTAGGTAAAGGAAGTCTTGGGTTTCTAACTGCGATCTACTTGCAGTTTAATGATGAAAGAGCAAACAAACTCCTCTGTCTGAGGTGAATTCACTACAGTTGTTCCACTTTTTGTGAGCGGTTTTACAGCACTGAAACCACCCACAATCCAGTTGTTCCAGATGTTATATTGTGCTCTAACTGTGGCTGTGCTGCTAAATGCTTTAAAAATGAAGTTCCTGGCATAATTAAGATATGCAGAAGCAATAATGTCGATCAAAAGATAAAGAAGAGAGAACTAAAATTCAAGAATTTAAAGAGTCGATTCAGATGCTAAGTGACCTGGAAAGGAATTGTGGCGTACAAACTGAAATTAACTTTTTGCGAGGGTTTGCAAAACACCTGATTTGCATAATTATTTCAACCAATATAGAGAGTGGGTGCAAATAAACAACTGTTTTGCAGACGCAATACCTTCTCGGAAAATTTCCCCTCAGTTTTCTTCACATTTTATCTGTTTATATCTGATAGTACTAAAGGCTAATGTGAAAACTTATTTTACATAATAATCTGAGTTATAGAAACTGTGACTGAAAAAGATGTAAAGTAACTTCATTTTTGATGTAGAAATCCTTGATCCGGGATCAGCGAATATCTTTAGACACTTGTTGCTTGTGAAAACTGAGGATTTGTAGGGGTTTAGTGTGCAGACTTTTCAGTGAAAACATTGGAAGGAACTGAGGAATTCACTCCCATTATTTTCCAACTTCTGGTAACTCAAACCTCTTTTAATTCCTAATATTTGGAACTATTTGTGCAGTTGGCTATGAAAATATATTAATTCATAACAGTATAAATACACAAACAGGAGAAGACTCAATCAGAAATTCACAAATTATGTTGAGACCACCCATGTATGAAGGTTACTGAGATTGAGTAGATAAGATTTTCTTTTGATTAATCTTTCATAAAAAGGTTCGACCTGCTGCCAATTGCACAGTAACCATAGTTTCTGCCAAAATACCAGTTGCTGTTATGATAAATAATAATGGTGGTAGGCCTACTATTCTGAATTACATGTGTTTATTGCCTCTTTCAGCTTATTATATCCATCATTTGTAAGTCACTTTGGATAAAAATTTCTGCTAAACGAATAAGCCCTAAATGCAAATGTGTGATGTGAACAAGGCCACAGGACGCCCCTGCGACAATCGATGAGGTCGCAACATATTCTTTGAAGTGTGGTACAAATGTGTGCGTATGTCTCCCTCAAGGTCTCTTACAGGAATGCCACACATTCCTCCGGGAAAATCCCAGTAGCAGTGCTACACGGGGGTTGCGTTTTACTCTTTACAATGTTTAAACTTTTCAATCACTCGCCAACAAGCTGAGTCGTGCCTCCTGAGCCTCCTGCTTTTGAAGCCTCAGTGGGGGTCTCTTAGGAGTCAGTATAGACCTTTATACGGGTCTTTGGCATTTTCACCTTGAGCAGGTGCTCTCAGAAAAAGATTACATTTTTGCAGTTCCTCAAGAGAGACCAAAAGCACTGACTTGTTTATAGACTAAAAAAGACCCATGTTAATGGTAATAAGTCTAATTTAGAAAATATAAAGTGCAGGCTTCCATGACAGTTCCAACTTTGAATACCAAGTAGGTCTAAATTAATATGGGAATTACTCAGTATGGTACAAAAACGATTAAAAGTGCATTTCACAAAGCCAAATGCAATCCATTATAGTAATAACTACTACAACCAGGGCCGGCCCGAGGCATAAGCGAACTAAGCGGCTGCTTGGGGCCCCCTGGCCACCAGGGGGCCCCCTAATCGAGGTTATTTTTTATTTTTATATTTTTAGATGACTTAAACAAGTGACATAAATCAATGAATGAATGAATATGACTGAATGAATAGTTCAAGACAACAAAATTCTGATTTAATGGTCAATATACCTGCCTACAAGTTACAACTGCTGCTCTGTCTGCCAGCGTTTCAGTCATACGTATAATCTTCTAGACACCTCGCGCGTGCATAGACAATTCGTGCGCAACTGCGCCTAGTCACGGTATCGGTTTAAGTTGGAGAAAATAGCCCGCAGGAGAACTTATCCTTCAAGGTGTAAGGGTAGCAGTTTGAATAAATAATAAACATAGCAGTTTGAACTCTTCTCCACTTTATTATACCACACATCAGATCTCCAAACACCCGCGACACTCCAGTAGCCTAGCAAGTGCGCACGACCCATCTACGGCAAGCCCCGAGGGGAAAAATACATTGCATACACACATACAACGAGCGCCAGAACATCATAACCGGTATTATAGTAACAGACTGTGTTGATTATGTCATGTACTATATAACAAAGTCTGTTACAATAATAATAATAACAATAATAAAGATTTTGAGGATAGTTACTCTGTATTGAGACAGTTGAGAAATAGGCTAGTAATATTTTTAGTTTTCAACAATAGCTGAGACCCAGAAAGTTTTTTTTTTAATTTAGTTTTTTTTCATGTCATCACATTGTTTAGAGCATAATAAACAAATGGTAAAAAAAAAAAAAAAACCTTTTTGAAAAATTATATTTTATTCATATGTAATACTTTGTCCTCTGTAGTGGACACCAGGACTCAGTTGTTAAAATTAAATGACATACAATGTGTAGGCAAAAACAATGGGATTTTTTTTCCAATCACCAATACATTTTGGGGTTTCAGGATTTTTTTGAACTAAAATTTGTATAAAGATGATTATCAACTATGTTATGAAAGATATAATGGAATTAATTGATACACCAATTTACTTTATGCAATATATGGGTAAAATTGGCATAAATTAATATTCCCATTCAATGCAAAGTATCTATACACTGTATCTAATTTGCACATTAATGTGTTCTTGGAGCAACATTTAATGAGGAAAGAAGTGTAAGCATTGGCGTAATAATAAGCAACATTTTAATAATAATATCTAATATGTCATAAGAATATTGACGTATAATTTATTTACATATTCACTTGTTATGTCTCCCAGAATGCCTGATAAACATGATTTATGTCCTGATGTTCTCTACAGTGGACATGAATGAAATCAATGCCCTGTAACGGAAAGTCATTTTTTTCATTTGAAACCCCATAACATTTTCATGAGATGTTGGTTGATGAAATACAATTTGAAAAGTAGTTAGATTTAAATTATAATTACAATATATTACCATATTTCAATAAGAGTGCTACATTTGATCACTAAATTAATGTTAGACATTTTTAAAGACCAAGGAGAAGTTGTTTTCATGGTGAAACCTCCAAACATTTGGTATCTCTGTATTGCCCTGAATGTGCTCTTTACAGGACATCCAGAAAAAAAAAATGTGACATGCATGGTGTCAGAGAAATACACTAAAATATAATGTCCACTACAGTGGACAAAAGTCTATTCCTGGGTCCCAGGAGGATAGGCCAAAGTATCATTGCTCTTACGTTTCTAATTTCTCAGTTTTGTCATAATTTTAGCAAATAATTTATTGTATATGTTTTGAGACAGTTTTAAGACTGTTTTCAAACTTTTTTATTTAAGTAGGCATCTATTTTTTTATTAATACATAACCTCAGTGTATTCATTTATAATGTATCATTTTTGCGTGACATTTATGTCAATAATCGTCAAACACAGGTGACTCCGCGTCGTGGGAGGGGCCCCCAAATCAAATTCTGCTTAGGGCCCCCAAAAGGCTCGGGCCGGCGCTGACTACAACTAACATAAAAATACGACTTTATCTTTGTTTAAGTAATGTAAACTGCAGAAAAGTGAGCATTTTCCACATCTTTACCTGAATAGTCTGACTCGGGTCCCCTGACACGGGCCCCCCAACCAGCTTGCAGTACAAGTCTTGAATCGGCTGCTCGTTCTCGTCCACTCCGCAGGTTGCCGTGGCCGTGATTTTCGTTCCCTCCGCTAGATTAAAATACGGTGGGTGCAAACTGTATCCGTTCACGCCGCCGGTGGGCAATTCCTGCGCAGTTAAGGTTTCAATGAACAGCATCGATAGAAACACCAACACCGGTGCGCGCGATGTTCCCCTCGCCATATTCACCTGTGCCGCGCGCTCAACTAGGCTATTACAACTGGTCAAAATGTCCACTGAGAGCTTGCTGCGGTGTTGGTGACGGACATTTGGGGAGACCGAATAAACTGAAAGTCGTCGCGGTTTCTTTCTGTGTGTGATATAACCTACAATAATACTTGGCAGAGGTGCAGTTCAGGGGGCACCTTCTCTCTCTCGGGCTCTGCCTCTGTGTGGGCAGTGCAGTGTGCGCGCGCGCTGTTGAGTAGAGAGAGGGCAGTGCAGTGCGTGTGTAGTCCCGTCTCTCTCTCACGCTGCGAGACCCTAATGAATGTGATATGTGTTATTGCTGGAAAGACCTCATTCCTGCCAAATCAGATCGCATATTTTTGTGTTAAAATCGATCTGGAAAATATAAAATGTAAATTCTGTCATTGCCTCATTCATTTTGTTCAATATGACTGCTTTCTTCTGTTTAACATTTTGACATTTAACAATGTCTTCTCCTCCATGCAATGAGAATAAAAATGATGCAGTAATTTAGGCCTAACCATATAAAAGTAGCTTCTATAATAGCTTATAGACTAGGCTCCGACTATTAGCTTAGGCTAAATAAGTCTTTTAAGCATATTAGATAACTTTAGTTGATTAAAAGACTTAGGCTTATCTTCACGTCATCCTCGCTCTCAAATGAGCGCTCATGAGCAAATTTAAGTAATGTCGGATTCGTGAATAATCTTTTGAGCATATTAAAAAAACTGATTCCTTCTCCCTTCAGGTCAGATTATCAAATTAAGCTATTAAGGTATGACCCAGCAAAAATATTTTGTTTCCTAGAACATTCTTTTTTTAATGGTTTTTTTTTTATTTTTTTTTTTATTTTTTTTTTTTTAGATAGGCTATACGTTTTATGTACGGAAATAGAAATAGTTTTTAGTTTGTAAAACATTTCTCTAACTCTAACGTTTCCCTAACCTCTTTAGCCTACTCTGATATCTTGCTGATAATTTACTCACCCCCATGTCACCCAAGATGTCCATGTCTTTCTTTCTTCAGTCAAAAAGGTCATCAAATTAAGGTTTTTGATGAAAACATTCCAGGACTTTACTGGTAACCAAACGGTTCAAGGTCCAAATAAGAGTTTCAGTGCAGCTTTAAATGACACCAGACGATGAATAAGGGTCTTATCAAGTGAAACGACCAGTCATTTCAAGAATAAATAAAAAAAGTTTAAGTTTTATAAGCTCAAATGTTCGCCTTGCTCTGTACTGTGATGCGCGTTTGTGACTCTTCTGTTTGAACTCGTTCATCAAAATGAACAAATCTTTTTTCGAGTCATTTCGTACATTGAATCAACCAAATGACTCGAAAAAAGATTCATTCATTTTGATGAACGATTTCGAACAGAAGAGTCACAAATGCACATCACAGAACAGAGCAAGGCGACCATTTGTGCTTATAAAACAAAGTTTTTATTTATTTTTGAAATGACTGATCGTTTCGTTATATAAGACCCTTATTCATCACTTGGTGTCGTTTAAAGCCCTTTGAACAGTTTGCACAGAAACTGTCTTTTGGACCTTGAACCGTTTGGTTCCCATTGAAGTCCATTATATGTTGAAAAATCATGGAATGTTTTCATTAAAAACCTTAATTTCTTTTCGACTGAAGAAAGAATGACATGGACATCTTGGATGACATGGGTGTTGAGTAAATTATCAGCAAATTTTTTTTTTTTTTTTTTTTTTAAGTGAACTACTCCTTTAAGTACTATTAAAATCAGATTCTCTAAGGTATCTGTACTTTTACTCAAGTATGGTTTACACATCTGTTGTTACTTTACTGCAACACAATACATGCTCGTCATTTCAATTGCTCTGAAGGTTAAAATGTTTCCAGTCAGTACAAATCAAATGTCACAAAAGAAAAGAAACATTTGCAACAGCGAGCAGGAACCCATCAGACCGTGCATTACACCCTCCAACACGGTGAGATTTCCCACCAGAGCTCGTTCACATTCCTCCACACCTCGTGTAGCGTCAGGCTTTCATTTTCCAGTCTACAGAACCTGAGGTTTAATTAAATGGCAGCGCTCCAGAGAACAAAGCGAGAGAGAGGGGACAGAGGGCGGAGAGGGGCAGGTGTTTCTTCGCCCATCATTTTGACCACCTGAAACGCAGCCAGCAAAGAGGCGCCCTTCTGACTAGTCATAAAACGCACACACAGTTATTCACACACACATTCAGTCCAGCAATCTGTATTTGCTGCAGAACAATAAACTGCTAAGGTCAAAAGTCTAGGGTCAGATTTTGGTCAAAATGGAAATTCATTCACTCACACTCATGTTAATTTGAACTCATCTTTCTTTTCTTTTTCTTTCCGTGGAACATAAAAGGAGATGATAGGATGTCCAAGCTCATTTTTTTCTGTACAATGAAAGTAGACAGCAACCAGTGACTGTCAAGCACTCAAGATAAGATGGCAGCCAGATGTGTGAAGACATCTGGTGTCTCTCCATTGACAAAAACAGACAAGCATGCCTTGACAAGGGACGTCATTCCAAACCTGTATGACTATAAGTAGCCTATATTCTTTTATAGAACAATCTTATAGGAATTTGGTGCCCGTTCTCATCCCAAGGCATCATATACTGACGCTTTTGACATTTCGTCTACATCCAATGCACATGGCACCCTTTAGCGTCAAAATGAGACACATATCTATATGGGCCAGAAGGCGCCTCCTAGTGGTCTAACCCCAGAACTAAACCTACCATAACCGAACAAAGCTCTATGCGTATTATACTACACTATCTCACGACCAATTCGTACAAGTGATTAAAAAGTGGCTAATTCATACGACCTCACTCGTACGAATTCGTACGATTTGTCCAAACCCACGTGATGGGTAAGTTTAGGGGCGGGATCAGGGGTAGGTCATTCGTACGAATTCATACGAATTGGCCAATTGGTAAAATGTGTACGATTTAGCAAAAGCGTACTAATTCGTACGAGTGAGGTCGTACGAATTGTTACGAATTAGCCACCTCGTAAAATTCGTACAAATTCTCGTGAGATCGGGTTGTGTTATATTGACACTAAAGGGTGCCATGTGCGTTGGATTTAGATGAAATTTCAAAAGTGTCACTATATGACGCCCTAGGATGAGAATGGGTTGGAATTTGAATATTGAATCATTACAGAGTTTTAGTTCCCATTGATTTCCATTGTATAGACAAAAAATATAAATGGAAGTCAATGGCAATGTCAATACTCTTCAAATGATCTCTTTCATGTTCAACAGAAGTAAGTAAGTCATGCAGGTTTGGATGACATCAGGGTGAGAGGATTTTTGTTTTCATTTTTGGATGAACTATACTTCAACTTCCCCTGCTGACTCATGTCACATTTAATGAATGAAGCTTAAGGCTGACGCACTCAAATTTTCGTCTGTCCTACACGTTGACCTCTGAACTTTGCTCTCATAGGAGTATCGCCACAAACTGGCAGGGGTCAAATTGGTGTTTGACTTTGGAAGTCTAGAGTCTTTCTGCTAATGCAACCGAAATCTCATTCACTTCCAAACAAGAACACATTCCACACAGGGCAGACAAACGAAACAAGAGAGACAAATCTCACAACTGAAGGATGAAGGAAATGTCATCCAGCTGTCACATACTTCCTTTATGGACAAGAGAGTCAACTCGGAGAACAAGAGATGAAAGAAAGGTTCTTTGTCTGAAGTGGCTGTGTCAGTGTATTAGTCTCCAGCTCTCCTGGTTGCCGGGGATTTCTTTTAAATAGTGAGAATGATGTGGGAACGCCCTGTTACAGACTCGCCACAGGTCAGCGACTAAACTAGGGCTGTTCCTAAATTATTTTTTTTACAAGATGCATGTGCTCCAGACACTTATTTTTTCTTTCACACAATCTGTTGAGTGTCTGCGAGATTGTTTGATAATGTGTCTCAAACACAGTTCTGATGTGGCTTCTTCATGCACTTTAAAGCCAGTAAGCCACAGACATGATCAGACAGGCCTGATCTTAACTGTGATGTGGTTCTAAGCCCTTGTTCACCTGTCAAAGCTGGACGGTTCAGGATAAAGCAAGTGGTTGTGTACACATGAGAGAGGGAGAAAATAAAACTAGATTTGTGCTCTTTCTTAAAGTCCCCCGTAGTCAATTTTTGTATCCCTTAACCCTTGTGCATCAATTAAAACAATTTACACATAGGTAAAAAGAGGACAAAAATGTCCATGTCAAAAAACTGTCATAAAAACGTGACGCTTTGGAGCACAGACTTAAGTTTGGTATCATTTTAGAAGAAGACCCTTTGCAGATTATTGCTGAAGTAAAAAAAATAATAAGTAAATCCAAAAAAAAGTTATATAGGTATAAGTTTATGAAAATTATTTATAAAAAATATTTTATATAAAATATACATTTTTTTAAATCAGGTTGAACTCAAAACTGCAATAAAATCAAAGCCATAAATCTAAATAGGTTGTGTTCCAAATTTGAGGATGATATCTCAAAAAATGAGCTTTCGGTAACAGTTTGTTTGGGCGTAGTAACATATTTTCCCCATTGGGTCCCAGCAAAACCCCACTGGTGCTCACAGTGATTGGATTGGAATTTGCAGTTTTTCTCTGTCAGTATTACAAACACACACATGCGCACACACACATATTTTTTTATAACACACATACTAACCACACTCTGACATCCATGCCAACACACCCACACAAATATTGTTCCATAATTTATCCAGTTGGCTCTATAGTATGCCGAAGCAGAAAACAGGAATAAAGCGATATTTGTTTTATTGGCCAAACTTAAAAAAAATGACACCATCTGATAAAAAATAGTAAAAAATAAAATTTTGAAGCCTTGCCATCAGAATGAAAGCCTCTTAAAAAAGATTGCATAATTTTATTGTTAACTGAACCTGGGATTAAAAATGGCAGTTTTAATGGGTTTCAATGGGGACATTTTTGTCCAAAAGGCGCTGAGAGGGAGTATTTTTTGTACCTAATGCAAAAAATATTTTTTTAAGAAAATGACAGTGAAATAGTAAAATTCCAATAAAAATACACACCTGTGCCAAGTTTTTTGCAGTTAGCTTTAACACAGGCAAAGGGATCAAAAAAACAAAACTGAAAAAGACAAAAATGTCCATAAGGATGCACAAGGGTTAACACTCATATTTGATCAGCAAAATGACATTTAAATGTTTTTCCTTGAAAATAAAATGTATTCATGCCTTAAAAAAGCTTGAATGTAACTCTATAAGTTATGAATATGCAAATTAGCCCCACCTCCACTCACTCACTCCATCTCAGAGATCCACTTGTTGGTGATCACAACTTGATCTGATTGGTTGCAAGGTAGTTGGTAACATAAGAAACACCAACGATTTCAAACCTCATATTTGTGAGACTGTCTTTGGTTCACACTGTTA